GGATATGATCTCCATGTATAATACATAAGGGGGGATATGATCTCCATGTATAATACATAAGGGGGGATATGATCTCCATGTATAATACATAAGGGGGGATATGATCTCCATGTATAATACATAAGGGGGGATATGATCTCCATGTATAATACATAAGGGGGGATATGATCTCCATGTATAATACATAAGGGGGGATATGATCTCCATGTATAATACATAAGGGGGGATATGATCACCATGTATAATACATAAGGGGGGATATGATCACCATGTATAATACATAAGGGGGGATATGATCAACATGTATAATACATAAGGGGGGATATGATCTCCATGTATAATACATAAGGGGGGATATGATCTCCATGAATAATACATAAGGGGGATATGATCTTCATGTATAATACATAAGGGGGATATAATCTCCATGTATAATATATATGGGGGGATATGATCCACATGTATAATACATAAGGGGGGATGTGATCTCCATGTATAAATACATAAGGGGGGATATGATCCACATGTATAATACATAAGGGGGGATATGATCCACATGTATAATACATAAGGGGGGGGGGGTATGATCTCCATGTATAATACATAAGGGGGATATGATCTCATGTATAATACATAATGGGGGGATATGATCTCCATGTATAATACATAAGGGGGGATATGATCTCCATGTATAATACATAAAGGGGGATATGATCACCATGTATAATACATAAGGGGGGAAGGTATGATCACCATGTATAATACATAAGGGGGGATATGATCCACATGTATAATACATAAGGGGGGGTATGATCTCCATGTATAATACATAAGGGGGGATATGATCTCCATGTATAATACATGGGGGATATGATCTCCATGTATAAATACATCAGTGGTTCATATAGTGAACTCGGTGTGGAGTTATTCATCCTGAGGTCAACACAGAGGACAAGGGGGGCACTCTACATCTGGAGGCAACAAAATGTAATCTTCAAATACGGAAAGGTTTATTCACAGTGAGAGCTGTGAAAATGTGGAATAGACTCCGTCAAGAGTTAGTTCTGGCCAGCTCAGTGGATTGCTTTAAAAAAGGCCTGGATCAGCAAGGAATTTTTTCCCCTGCCTTCCTCTGGATCAATTGTGGGTGTAGCATTATAACTTTTTTTTTAATGGTTGAACTGGATGGACTTTTGTCTTTTTTCAGCCAGACTAACTATGTAACTATGTAACCCGCCCTTGCTCTATTCAAAATTTAAAAAAAAAAAGTTTTGCCTATAGTTCTACTTTAAGATAAAAAAAATACCTGAGCCCTCATTCAATTCGCACTGTGCATGTCTGCAGCTCTTCTCTCCTCTCACATCCCGCACCAGTGGGGGACCTAGAAGGTAAGAAGGGGAGGTTCAGTGCTGCTCTGTGCAATTCTATTGCACAGAGCAGGTAAGTATACACATGTTTGTTATTTTTTTTAATTTCCCTTTACAACCAATTTAATCTGAATGAACATGAGGTTTGTAAACGTACTTTATGAAGATCTCCATGCGTTTACTTCCTTGAATTCTGTGGCGCATAGTCACTATGCTCTGTGAGTAGGCGTTGCTGTGTCACGCATTTCACAGAGCCTGCCTTCTGATCTACACAGGAGTTTCAGGAGGTGGAGTCAGTACAGGGATCTCTGTTTGCAGCAAGGTAGGGATATGCAGTCCTTAGGAGAAACTGCAAAGCATGCAGGGAATCCATGAAGTTATGGAAAGAGATGGCCAGCAGACAGGCAGCACTCACAACATTAAAGGAGATATTTCAAGTAAGCTTCTCTTGGATTGCCAATATAATTTTTTTTTCTATTGCAATTACAATGCTGACCATAGAACTTGTAACAGAACCGACCCAGGCTGCGCTTGAGTACTTCCGTTAGAATACTGTTTCCCTATCCGAACACTGACAACAGACACCACAGCCGACCATACAAGACTAGATTACACCAGTCTTGAAGTAAACCAGGAGGTACACTAGTTTATTTGAACACAGATACAAGATAAATACACTCAGGTCACAATCCCCCTCCCTGCATAATGACACAGGGCAAGGCAATCTACATTTAGTAACAAGACACACACAGGTATTCAAACTTCACACCAGCAGACAGTCCCATCAGGAGGAAGGGCTGCTGGAGACACCCCCCTCCCCACTAAGCTAATACACATAAACACATACATCCCATAATAGTTTGCTCCCAAGCCAGACAGACAATAAAACAATGGGATGCAGCCATATGACATTAAACAATCAACAACCCCCACCCCAATATTAGGACAGATCACCCTGTACCCCTAACAGACCCAGGGTGATTTACACATAAGAGGGTTATATGGGGAGCTGAGACAGGGGTCTCCCCACCTCTGCAAAGTGAGCTGGATTCCATGGGACCCCCACCCAAAGTGACTCCCGTCACAGAACTCCTTTAATGTTTTGTGTTCAGATCCACTTTTTAAAGCATTAATCATTACTTGTACATTAAACTGATTCTCTATATAAAAAAAAAACATTAAACAGGTTTTAAGAAATGTAACACCCTAAGAAAGAGAGCAAACCACATAAGTAATGGTCGTTTTCCAGATGTTTTTATAGTCCTCTGACATTCAAAAATAAAGAAGATTAAAGGCATGAGTGCCCAGCAGCCACTATTCTTTGGAATTAAAGTTAGTCTTTCCTTGAAGTAACAAACCTAGGAAATCGATAACAGAACCGACCAAAGGCTAAATACATATATGGAAGCTGCTTTACTTGCCAAAGATTTTGTAAATCTGTGCAGCCAGCTATGTGATTAGGGTGCCACTACCATGCAGCACAGCCAGATCCTTGACCTCCACTGCAGAATGGACACAGCTTGATCAAACTGCACCCCAGCCTGCTGATTGGACAATGAAGGAGCAGAAGCATAGTGATGAGCTCATGCTGTCTCCTCCTTGTCTACTTGTTTACGTCAAAGATGAATTCCGGTTGGCTCTGAGGAAGAGGTTGTGTCCTCGAAACGCGTTAGCCAGTTGGTCATCCAGGGTTCCATCGTATGGGCTCAGATGTTGTTTGGATCATACACCTTGTTCAGTTTGACATGCCTGTGTTATTATGTCCATTGTGAGTATGATACCTATTTTTGTTTCTTTAATAAATTATTTTAAACGATAATGCACTAGGTCAGTGTGCCCTTTTTCTGTTTCTCCATTTGTATCCAAAGATGAATTCCGGGCAGATGTAAAAATACAGCAATGCATGCAGTTTTATTTTTATATAAAAAATAATGACATAATTACATGTATTTTTAAATGCAACTAGTATAAATACCAGATTTTGGCTTGATTTCAGTAATCCCCTGTATAAAAGCAATCAGACTTGGAGAGAGAATGGCAGTATTCTGATGTAATCAGGTGTGTGCATATATATCTGAACGGGCTGTGTAAATCTCAGGGACTGGATGCACAGAAATGCAAATCCTTCAGCAACTAAGTCAAGTCCTGTATATGTATTTTGATTGTGTATTCATTGGTAATTGGTAATTTTTTCATATTTCCTTGGAGTTCAGCAAAGTACATTCCTCTGATACTTAAACTGTACACATCTCTCTATTTGCTATTATTAACAGGCGGCACAGTTTCTTACTGGTTAGCATGTCTGCCTTGCCGCAGTGAAATTGTCAGTTTGAATCCCAACTCTCTTACAACCTGCATGGAGTTTGCATGTTCTCCCTATACTTGTGTGGGTTCTCCAGTTTACTCCAAAGACATGCTGATAGGTTAATTGACTTTTGTTTAACCTCCTTAGCGGTGTTCCCGAGTGTAGCTCGGGGTAAAATTTCTATAGCAAGAGCGGTAACCCCGAGCTACACTCGGGCTTACCATGCGGCGTTGTTCAGGGGGTCCCTGCAGCACTTACCTTGTCCTTCGCTCCTGCGATGTGTCCCCTCCAGCGTCCCCGGCCATCTCCTCCAGCCGATGCCGGCATCTGGCTTCCGTGTTCCGGTCCCTGTGACATCGGGACGTACGGGCACCAGAACCGGCGGGAAATTTGAAATTTTTAAAAAATGTCATTTTTGCTGTCATTGCTGTTTCAATGCATTTCACATATATTTTGTCCCGAGCGCTTTGTCCTGCGCCCTGCCTGCATTTTGAATGTTCTTTCTGCCTGGAAACTTAGAAAAGTCCATGGCGTCCAAAAAGCGTCCCTTTACGTCAAAAGAGGTTTTAGACCGGCTAGAGAACAGCGATAGTAAATTAGAACCACTTGCAGAATTGAGTGATAATGATTCGTGGGGAAATTCGTCATCAGACACTGAAAACAATTTTGCGACTTTGCTCAGCGATGTGCGAATTTGCCTTGTATTTCAAATTTCAGTGTTTTTGGTTTGATTATATTATTGAATTAAATTTATTATTATTATATTATTATTTTTTATGATTATTTATTAAATTGTAATTTATGATTTCGGGTTTCAAATTTTATCATACCCGGGATGTTTAATAGACTCTTGTTCGGACAGATTTCAGTGAGTTATTCCTAAAAATTACAGCCTACAATAAAAAACTACATATTTCCATGAAAAAAAATGGTACCGCTTTCAGCACAAAAAATCAGAAAGAATCATACCGCCAGGAGGTTAAATTGTACCTAGTATGTGAATGCATGTGAGGTAGGCAGTGCCAGGAAAAGGTTATCTATTGCCCAGGGCGAAGATGCCAAAAAAAAAAAAAAAGAAAGCACTAACCTTCACACTTACCTCCTAAGCATAAATTCTCTTTGCAAGTCTAAAAGTCCCCCTCTTCTAGTACAATTCCCCCCTCCCAGCTCAAATCCTCTCCCTTACCCAAATCTTCCTAGCACAAATCCTCTACCCCTCAAATTTCCCTTCTGAGCATAAGTCCTCCCCCCTCTCCCCTCCAAATCCCCTCTCCCAGCACAAATCCACCCCATATCCCCTCTCCTAGCACTAATCCTCCCTCCAAATTTCCCCTTTTAGCACGCATCTCCCCAAACATTCCTACTAGAACAAATCTTTCCCCCCAAATCCCCCTTCTTAACACAAATCCAACCTCTTAGTACAAATCCCTACAGCACCCAGGGCAGCTGACCCTCCTGCCCACCCCTTGTCTCTGCCCTGGAGGTAGGTTCCAGGGGTGGACTGACCATTTGGAAACTCGGGCACTGCCCGAGTGCCGGGGGTCAGTAGGGGGCCCCATGAGATACCCCTGGTACCTTTTTCATAGGCTTTTTTGAGTTTGGGCAAGGACACAGGGGCCCCATAAATCCCTATTGCCCGGGGGCTCCATGAGTTGTCAGTCCACCCCTGGTAGGTACCTTAGATTGTAAACTCCTTAAGGGTAGGGACTGATGTGAATGTACAATATATGTAAAGCACTGCGTAAACTTTTGGTGCTATATAAATACCTGTAATAAATAAATTCCAGTATTCCTGATTATTATAGCAAGATCTATGTGTGTTTCCATGCAGTGTAAACATGAGTGCTGGCTCGGTGGACCAGGAACCGACGCGGAAGCTGGGCTGTTGTGGTGTCCCTGTGATTACAGAAGATATGCAAGCTTTAGCCATCCGAAGCTTGTCCGGGGGTGAAGTACAGAAGCACTATGAATTCATACGGGAACTGGGGAAAGGGACATATGGCAGAGTGGAGCTCGTGTCCCACAAGAGTACAGGTAAGGACAATGTAAGGGGCGAAGAATGCACTGGAAGATAAATGTATACTATGCATATGCAATACTGGTGGTGGTGTGTATGTCTGTGCCTATTTTAGTTAGACAGTTGCAGCCTTCAGATCCTGAAGACGTCTCACTGTGAAAGATGCTGGTGAGACATTTGCCAGTCCTCAAGCCTACTGGTTAGAGTAGTCCATATGGAACAGAGGCTCATGTACACATTGTTTTACAGAAAGAGAGAAGGATAGGTTTCCACTCACAGACAGATTGCCTTTTGAGTTGGACTTCTCTGTGTTACATAGTTACATAGATAGTCTGGCTGAAAAAAGACAAAAGTCCATCCAGTTCAACCATAGAAAAAAGTTATAATCCTATACCCACAGATGATCCAGAAGAAGGCAAAAAAACCCAGCAAAGCATGATCCAATTTGCTCCTGCTGGGAAAAAATTCCTTCCTGATCCACCGAGAGGCAACTGGAGGCAACTTTCCTATAAATGTTATATCCAGTTATATTCTGTGTATCTAAGAAACAATCCAGGCCTTTTTTTAAGCAATCCGCTGAGCTGGCCAGAACCAACACTTGAGGGAGTCTATTCCACATTTTCACAGCTCTCACTGTGAAGAAACCTTTCCGTGTTTGGAGATTAAATTTCTTTTCCTCCAGACGTAAAGAGTGCCCCCTTGTCCTCTGTGATGACCTCAGGATGAATAACTCTACACCGAGTTCACTATATGAACCAATGATGTATTATACATGTTATTCATATTCCCCTTATGTATTATACATGGAGATCATATCCCCCCTTATGTATTATACATGGAGATCAGATCCCCCTCTTATGTATTATACATGGAGATCATATCCCCCCTTATGTATTATACATGGAGATCACATCCCCCCCCTTATGTATTATACATGGTGATCATATCCCCCCTTATGTATTATACATGTTGATCATATCCCCCCTTATGTATTATACATGGTGATCATATCCCCCCTTATGTATTATACATGGTGATCATATCCCCCCTTATGTATTATACATGGAGATCATTACCCCCCTTATGTATTATACATGGAGCTCAGATCCCCCCTTATGTATTATACATGGTGATCATATCCCCCCTTATGTATTATACATGGAGATCATATCCCCCCTTATGTATTATACATGGAGATCATATCCCCCCTTATGTATTATACATGGAGATCATATTCCCCTCTTATGTATTATACATGGAGATCAGATCCCCCCCTTATGTATTATACATGGAGATCATATCCCCCTTATGTATTATACATGGAGATCAGATCCCCCCTTATGTATTATACATGGTGATCATATCCCCCTTATGTATTATACATGGTGATCATATCCCCCTTATGTATTATACATGGAGATCAGATCCCCCCCTTATGTATTATACATGGAAATCATACCCCCCCTTATGTATTATACATGGAGATCAGATCCCCCCTTATGTATTATACATGGAGATCATATCCCCCTTATGTATTATACATGGAGATCATATCCCCCCTTATGTATTATACATGGTGATCATATCCCCCCTTATGTATTATACATGGTGATCATATCCCCCCTTATGTATTATACATGGAGATCATATCCCCCCTTATGTATTATACATGGAGATCATATCTCCCCTTATGTATTATACATGGAGATCATATCCCCCCTTATGTATTATACATGGAGATCATATCTCCCCTTATGTATTATACATGGAGATCATATCCCCCTTATGTATTATACATGGAGATCATATCCCCCCTTATGTATTATACATGGAGATCATATCCCCCTTATGTATTATACATGGAGATCATATCCCCCCTTATGTATTATACATGGTGATCATATCCCCCCCTTATGTATTATACATGGAGATCATATCCCCCTTATGTATTATACATGGAGATCATATCCCCCCTTATGTATTATACATGGTGATCATATCCCCCTTAATCTCCTCTTCTCAAGAGAGAATACATTCAGTTCCTCTAACCTTTCCTCATAGCTGAGCTCCTCCATGCCTCTTATCAGTTTAGTTGCCCTTCTCTGCACTTTCTCCAGTTCTCCAATGTTCTTTTTGTGAATTGGTGCCCAAAACTGAACTGCATATTCCAGATGAGGTATCACTAATGATTTGTACTGGGGGAAATTATATCTCTCTCTCTCTGGAGTCTATACCTCTTTTAATACAAGAGAGGATTTTGCTCGCTTTACAAACCGCAGCTTGGCATTGCATGCCATTATTAAGCTTGTTATCTACCAGAACCCCCAGATCCTTCATCACCATTGATTCCCACAGTTGCACCCCCCTAGTATGTATGATGTATGCATATTCTTAGCCCCCTGTTGGCCAAGGAGCTCCTCCTACGCAGGAATAAAACATATAGCAAATCTGGAGACACAACAGGAAATAAGCGAACTTCCCAAAGTGAGGAAATTCTATTTTTAGACTTTTGTCACAATTGATGAGGTTCCGGTTTGCCACTACCATGGGTTTACTATGAACCACTGGGATCCGTAAAGTTTGTGTATACTGAACGTTTGACCAGGTTTTCCATCAGGAACATCATACATACCTTTGCTCCTGGTCAGAAGAGCTATTAATTTATGGATTGGATACCCCTTAACCCTATCTTTTCGAAATCAGTATGACATATAATAAATACCAGATAGGCAAGGTAAACAGAATGGGTCGTAGGGCTAATGTGGACAAGTCTCCTTTTTTAAATTATTTCATTGTGCGTTAATGTTAGAATCCTCAAATCTGCACTGGAGTTATGTGGTTAGTTTATTGGGTAGTGTTTAGCAGATATGCTCCTAAAAGTATTTGTAAACCCAATCATGAAGTCTCATCTAAACTTTAATATGTTAAAGTAATTTAAAAAGTGATTTTCAAAATATTTATTCTGGAAGTTTTCATTAACCCCTTCCAGCTGGCATAGCCTGGCCCTTCAATCATTTGTGAGGTCAGTGGCAATACCTGGGCTTCTCGATCGATCGATGTTATCACTTTGATTAGCTGTCACAGTAATCACATGATTGGGAGCCCACCCCTCCAGTTCCTGATCATAAACAGTGACCAGGTGCTGTTGGTGACAGCTCAATCACCATGCTGAGGGCACTTAGCACAATCAAGGGATGTTGGCTGAACACATAAATGTGGTAGCTTGGCAATGAGGTTCCTTTCTTCAGGCACTGCCAGTGACAAGGTGACAATGTCTCTCCTTGTCTCCCACTTGGTCTCATGCATTATCATTTTGTCACACTCTTACCTAATAGAGACTGCAAGCATCAGTGCCAATGCTTACTGCAGAGGCATGTTCCACTTGCAACAATAGTTGAAAAAAAGGTAAAAATAGTATATATGAAAAAATGGCAGTTGTTTGTGGTACACAGTGATGTAGTAAATGTCAGTTAAGGTTGTTACTTTAACATCTGTCTTCCTTATTAGGGAACAAGATGGCTTTAAAATTTGTCAACAAGAACAAGACCAAGTTAAAGAGTTTCCTGCGGGAGTTCAGTGTGACCAGTGCTCTTTCCTGCAGTCCTTTCATTATAAGAGCCTTTCATGTCCTTTTCCAGACGGAGGACTGCTACGTCTTCGCTCAGGAGTATGCTCCAGCTGGAGACCTCTTTGATATTATTCCGCCACAGGTGAGATCAGTCATTCTGGGTCACATGATATTCCTCATAAGCCTTTCTGGTTGACTGGGTGTGCATTCAGATGTAGCCAGCATGACACCTCCCCATAGCTGAAACGCCATACTGCTTTGTTTCATGTATTTTATTTTAAGCATTTAAATAGTGTTTCATTTTTTTTCTTTTTGCTAGTTATGCCACCAGTTGTAGCTAGTAGTATTTAGGTGATGTAAGCATTAGAAAATGCCTCTGGGTAAAATGGAAAACTATTCAGTAAATGGATTATGCTGCCCAGGGAATACTGCAAAAAAAATCCCAGCCAGTTTAAATCTTAGCTTTATAAAGGCTCAAAACGAAGGGGTACTGCAGCCATAACGCTGCTAAAAAAACAACCTGCGCACAGTAGTGTGCATTTGGCCCCCCTGCCTTCAGACATCCGAAGCTAGTGGAGTGCAATAGAAAAAAAATGAAAGTTGAGTTCAAAAAAACTTTGACAGGACATGGTCTCCTACCAGGTGGGTCTTTGAATCATGAAGCTTTCTCTGCTGGATGCACTGGGCATGCTTGCACTCCCCCTCCCCAATATGAAATCAACATTTTATTTTCTTTGTGTGTTATTTTTTTCTTGCTTTTTGCATGCCTTCGTCTCCATTCTTGCCCAGGGGAGAGTGATGCCTCCAGCACTGTGAAATCTCCTAGGATATGTATCACATATCCCAGGATGCTTCATTTCCATTCACAGAACGCATAGCAGGGCAGGCCCTACCATGCACCATCAAGGGGGGCTGCTTGAGCCAGAAAGAGGCACCCAGTACCCAATGACATCAGAGCAAAGATGGTAGTGATGGATACAGACTGTGACA